GTTCAGCAGCTCTGAGACATGTCTGCATGCACTGATCTCCATTTGGTTCCCCTGAATCACGATTCCTCAAGCATCACTGGGTATAGCCTGCGGGCCCACAGCACTGCTGAGTATGGCCCCAGACACCTTTGAGCTCTGTGAACTGTGTAATCCTAGCGTTGCAGGACCCCAACAACACAAGATCCTCTGGCCTTGGCATCGAACCTTTGACCCAGTGGCCAAGAATCACAGGGAGTGGCCCCCGGGCCTTCTGAACATCCCTTGAAAGACCACTTTTCCAAATAGAGGTGCTATCCTCTAGAGGAAAACATGTAAGAATACTGCAGGAAGCAACTAGCCCACCTTACTTATTAGCTGGAATTGACTTTGGCATTTCTTAGCCCTAAAATTTGAAATTATCAGTTGTTTCTAACATGACATCCCACTGGATGTTCCTCCAACCTCAGCCTGAAAACTTCAGTACTAGAGAATGTCCCGTATTCACTATGGTCCCGTGTCATTATTATAGAGCTACTTTTATTTTCGTTTTTTTGAATGTTGCCTTGTTGATAGCTAATACATTTTGAAATTATTTGACAGAAACTAAAATTGGGGCTGGAGAGATAGTACAGTGGGTTGGGCACTTCCTTTCATGTGACTCTCCTGGGTTCAATCCCTGGCATTCCATATAGTTCCCGAGTACTGCCAAGAGTAATTTCTGAGTGCAGAGCCAGGAATAACCCCTGAGCATCATCACCAGCCCACCAGGCATGGGCACCCTTTGACGCCGTCCCCCCCAAAAAAAATCCAATCCTGAAATAAATTAAAATCAAGGCTAAGATAAAATAACTAAATCATAAAAGGATAATGCAGTGTGATGATGACAGTTAAGGAATGTCAGAAAAACTCAAATAAAGGGAGGCTATTGCATTTGAGTAGAAGGTAATTCTGAGGTTCTTGGAAGCAACTGGAAGGTGAAACCCAAAGGGTTCTCTGTCTCCTGATCTCAGACAAATGAGGCGCTCATAGTTTTAAGAGAAGCAACTACTTTCACATCCCTGCTTCATGAGGAATTACAATAAAGCTCTTTGTAAAGTAAAAGGCCCTCCCGTTGATCATCGATTTGCTCGAGCGGGCCCAGTAACATCTCCATTGGAGACTTTGTTGTTACTGTGTCTGGCATATCGAATACGTCACGGGGAGCTTGCCAGGCTCTGCCGCGGGCGAGATACTCTCGGTAGCTTGCCGGGCTCTCTGAGAGGGGCAGAGGAATAGAACTTGGGTCAGCCGTGTTGGCTACTGCTGTGCTATCGCTCCAGCCCCAAAGCTGTTTGTACAGTTTATATATATATATTTAAATTTTTATTTTTTTTGTTTTTTGTGTCACACCCAGCGATGCACAGGGGTTACTCCTGACTCATGCACTCAGGAATTACTCCTGGCAGTGCTTGGGGGACCATATGGGATGCTGGGAATCGAACCCGGGTCGGACGCGTGCAAGGCAAACGCCCTCCCCGCTGTGCTATCACTTCAGCCCCTGTACAGTTTATATTTTAAGAGGCATAATGAATAGTGGATTTTTTCTAGATGCTTTAGCAGTTGTTTTTTGGTTTTTGAGCCACACCTGGTGATGCTCAAGGGTTACTCCTGTATTCAGGAATGAATGTAATCTGGCAGTACTTGGAGACTAGGGACCACAAGGGATGCTTAGGATTGAATTTGGGTCAGTTTGCTTGTCAGTATGCAAGACAAGCACCCCACCGACAGTACTATCGACTCCAGCCTAGAGAAAAATTTTATATATTTTTTCCAGTTCTAAAATTTATATTTGTTTATTTCAAAATAGATATTATTTCTCTTCTGAGATTTCATATCTATTTATTACTAGCTTGTTTTCTTAGGGCATCATTGAAGGTATAATAGATGTCTCGTGTTATTTTTCTCAATCCAGTATTCAGTTCAAATAAGACTGTATCTGAGAGTAGGAATCTGAGAGAATGAGACAAAATCATTAAAATCTTTTTTGGTTACCAGTGACAGAAAGAGCCACTTGAAACTCTCATTCCTGAAGATTCTCTCTGGTTTTGTAGTTCATCAGGGATGAATAGATTCAGGGTTCAAGCAATCTCACTACTAACTCTTGGCTTGATTCTGTTTTCCTGTGGATGGTATCTCCATTACCTGGATCCCTATGTGGGAAGCTAACTGTAGCACTTTCAGCCTCACATTTTCTACACTCAAATCCACCAATATCAAGAGAGGGCTTTTATCTAGCGTTTTAAGCAATCTTGGAATTAGCTCTTTGGGAACAGTGAATTGGCCTGAGTGGAGTCAAAGTTTCATTCCTGGTGGGGAAAGAGTGCATTAAAACTCATTTGGGCGTGGGGATAGAGCAATAAGGAAGGACTTAGAGTACGAAGGCCAAAGGGCATGGCTCCTTAAGAAAGAAAACCAGAGAACTGCCAGGAAAGAAACAATAGTAGCAAAGCAAATGTGCAAACAATTTTAGGTTTGAAAGAGGATACTGGCTGAGAGAAGACTGAAGCAGTAAGGAATGATGCTATCATAGTGGGATAGATGGAATGAAATTGATTATTAAAGCAAAGAATATAAGGATTGAGAAATGATTATTAGGTTCATTCATTTCTGAGATGAAAGAAGAAAATAATGATGAAATAAAAGATAACATAAATAAAAGTGGGATGTTGAAGATTTGTCATGTAGTTTCAATTTTATTTTGTTTGGGGGCCACACCTAGCGATGCTCAGAGCTTACTTTTGGCTTTGCACTCAGAAACTATTTCTGGCAGAGGCCATATGTGAGCTGGGATTGAACCCAGATCAGCCTCATGCAAAGCAAGCACCCCAACTTCTCTATCTCTCTGGTTCCAAATACCTTCAATATATATTTTTAAACATGAAAGGGTAGAGTGTTATTATCATTAGTTTTAGGTTTGGGGTCATATCCAGAAGTTCTCAGGGCTAATTCCTTACTCTGTGCTCAAGGATCACTCTTGGAAGGGCTTGGGGTACCATATGGAGTTCTGGGGATCAAAGCTGGGTTGGCTGTGTACAATGCAAGCATCCTACACTTTCTACTTTCCCTCTGGTCCTTGGAATAGTGCTATTAAAAAACAATTTAAATATATCACATCAATTATATCCCATACAAATAAGTTCTTTGTCAGGGTGGGGATTTGGGGTACACCTGGCAATGCTCAGGGTCATTCCCATTTAGCGCTAGGGGAATGGACCTGGGCCTCCCATCTGCAAAGCATGCACTTAACATTTTATTTATTTATTTATTTTTGCTTTTTGGGTCACACCCGACGATGCTCAGAGGTTACTCCTGGCTCTGCACTCAGGAATTACCCCTGGCAGTGCTCAGGGGACCATATGGGATGCTGGGAATCGAACCTGGGTCAGCTGCATGCAAGGCAAACACCCTACCCTCTGTACTAGCACTCTGGCCCCTGCATTTAGCCTTTTGAGCCACCTCTCCTGAAGATGAATGCTGAAGATAAATGCTATAGCTAGCATATCAAATGATTGCATTCTTTAGGTTACTAATATCACTGTCACTGTCCTCCTGTTGTTCATCGACTTGACAAGCGGGCCCAGTAGCGTCTCCATTGTGATACCTGTTACTGTGTTTGGCATACTAATATCATGTTTACAAAATTTAGCATGAATTTATTTAATATATATGACACTTTAACAATGCATGCTATTTCACAGAATTAGTTATATCACGGACCACTTGTCCATTCTCCTAAAAAAGACATTTACAGTGCATTCATATTTTATTTTAAATAATGCTTCAGTTAGTAGATACATAGCTAGGTTTTCCTTCAGGAATTTTGGTAGTAAAGTTTGTCTAGATGTGGTAAGTATTACTCTTAAGTGTGTTGCAAAATCACCTTTCACAAAGTATGTACAATTCTGAATGATCCCAGCCACAGAGGCATTACTAGTTGCACCTCACATCATGTCTGAGACATTTTATCCTATTAACATTTTCAAAATAACATATTGAGCACATTGTTTCTGTCAGGATAGTTCCAAAAATCTTTAGTTATGCTAAGTTGTTCAATTCTCACAATAAATGCTAGGGAGATAGTAAACAGCTAAGAAGTGGCAGAACTAGTATTTGAAACAAGGAAACTTGAACCAGAATTTGCAAGGTTGGTTACTAAGCTCTATTTCCTTGTAATCACTTTTGATGAACACTAACACTCAAGTGTTCGTACAACTTGTATATATGTGCGAGAACTTCAACAAATTTTGAGGGGATAGTACTCTTCTTTTAATATCCCCCTTATATCCCCCATAATTGAATAGGGTAACTATGATGAATCTAGACACCTCAGATAATCTGAATGATAGATTGCTATCACCCATACATTTTATTTTTCCTGTTTCAGTTTTTTGGGTCACAACCAGTCATGCTCAGGGGCTACTCCTGGCTCTGTATACTCAGCAGTGCTCAGTGGATCATACAGGATGCCAGAGTTGAATCCAGGTTGGCTACATGGAAGACAAATGCCTTACCCACTGTACTACTGCTCCAGCCCCCTTATTCATACATTTTCAAACCTCTTTCCCATAGGTAAAGTTTAGAAAACAAAGAATTAAATCACTTAGGTATTAAAAATGTAGTAGTTTTTAAGTAAAGTAAGTAAGTAAAGGCCCTCCCGTTGATCATCAATTTGCTCGAGTGGGCCCAGTAACGTCTCCATTGGAGACTTTGTTGTTACTGTGTTTGGCATATCGAATACGTCACGGGGAGCTTGCCAGGCTCTGCCGTGCGGGCGAGATACTCTCGGTAGCTTGCCGGGCTCTCCGAGAGGGGCGGAGGAATCGAACTCGGGTTGGCTATGTTGGCTGCGTGCAAGGCAAACACCCTACTGCTGTGCTATCTGGCTACTTTCAAAATATGGCAGTGCCTCCCCCTCCCCTGGCTCCACCCCCACTTGTTGGGTCAATAGTTGAATTGAATTTTCCCAATAACTCAAAACATACCTTCTGATTACACTTGAACATCTGAAAAGTAGGTATTACTTTGATCTGAAGAGTTTCAGCTAACTCCTAAGGAGAGAAAAAAAATAGCATGGAGTTACAATTTTGGTTCTTCTTTCTGTGCCATACATGGTAGTCTCAGGAACCATGCCTGATGGTCCAGAGACAGCGGACACTTCATAGCTTCTCCTTTCGAGAACTTTTCTAAGAGATTTTTGTTCTCAAAGCCTCCAAGAATATTCCAGAAAATGACTGTTCCCAGGAAGACTAAATTTTCTTATCCCAGAGCTCAGAGAAAGTGAGAGATGGAGGCTGAAATAGAATAGATGCTAAAGTTGAAACGAGCAATGCTGTCTCTTAAAGATCTTGGTCACGGTCACGGTCACGGTCCTCCCGTTGTTCATCGATTTGCTGGAGCGGGCCCAGTAACGTCTCCATTGTGACACTTGTTACTGTGTTTGGCATATAGAATACGTCACGGGGAGCTTGCCAGGCTTTGCCGTGCGGGCATTCATCAAATTGATGTCACAGGTCATAAATTTCAGGTATACAATATATTTATTTGATATGTTTCTACATGGTAATATGACATACTAAAGTAATGGGTACCATACTACGTCATTATCATTATAGTATAGCATTCTTGTCTATTATAGTTTGTGTGGCATATTTACTATCTATTACAAGGGCATACCCTTAAATATCATCAGCATTATGTCCCTGGTGACCACCATCTTACTCTCTACTTTTTAAAAAAAATATCAACTTTTTATTTTCTGTGGTTGTGTGTGTTGGTGGGAAGGGTCCACACTCAGTGGAGCTCAGGGTCTACTCTTAGCTTTGTGTCAGAGGAATGTGTGATGCCAGGGATGGAATCCAGGCCCCAAGCAATCAAATCATGGACTTTAGCCCTTTGATCTATTGCTCTGGCCCAACAGTTTTGACGTAGATTCCAGAAGTAAGTGATACACACCTTCTCGTCTTTTCCAGCATATCTTATCTCACTTAGTGTAGAATTCTTGTGTTTTTGCAAATGGTGGCCTATCGTCCTTTATAAATAATCAATGCTTCAAAGAGCTTGTAAAAGATGACAGAAGGGTTCCTGGTATAATCCAATAGGGAGTAAAGTTATTGCAGAAAATAAGAAAGAGGGGCCTGGACTGATAGTGCAGTGGGTAGGGCATTTGCCTTGCATGCAGCAGCGGACTTGGTTTGATCCCTCACATTCTATATGGTCCCCCTGGCATAATTCCTGAATGCAGAGCCATGAACATATCCAAGGGTGCTTTTCACAAAAGGTTCCTTTGAAATTCTTAGTGAAGGGGCCAGGAAAATAGTACAGCTGCTGCTCCCAGGTTATTTGCCTTGCACACTGCCAACTTGGATTCAATTTTTGGCACCCCGATGGTCCCACAAACCTATTCCTTACTGCAGATCCAGGAGTAAGTCTTGAGCACTGATGGTGTGACCCAAAACATACCCCCCCATCAAAATTTCCAGTGAGACATGGAATAATAACATAGTCTAGCAATTTTAATAGTTTTGTAACTATTAAAAACTACATGAGTCTTTTAAGTCCTACTCTTCTTTTGTGTTATTATTTATAATAAAAATAATAAAAAATAATAAAACAATAAAAATACTAACAATATAATATTAATAAACTTAATTATTATAATAATATATTATTACAACAAACATATACACAAATAAACATATCTATTATAATTAATTATAAATAGACAATTATTAAAATATTAATACAATAATAAAAATAATAATTAAAAATAATGGACTGGAGCTATAGCACAGTGGTAGGGCATTTGCCTTGCACGCGGCCGACCTGACTGAGCCGGGTTTGATTCCTCCGCCCCTCTCGGAGAGCCCGGAAAGCTACCAAGAGTATCTCTCCCCCACGGCAAAGCCTGGCAAGCTACCTGTGACGTATTTGATATGCCAAACAGTAACAATAAGTCTCACAATGGAGACTTTACTGGACCTGCTCGAGCAAATTGATGAACAATGGGAGGACAGTGCTACAGTGCTTTTTGGGTCACACTCAGTGATGCTCAGGGGTTACTCCTGGCTATGCACTCAGGAATTACTCCTGGCGATGCTCAGGGGACCATATGGGATGCTGGGAATTGAACCGGGTCGACCACGTGCAAGGCAAACGCCTTACCTGCTGTGCTACTGCTCCCATTCCCAGTGCTACTCTTTTTCACTATCCATCTTTGTGAAAGCCTTGGAGTCAAAAGATGAGAAAATATGTAAAGAATTACAATTATTTTAATCAGTTTTTATTGCATTTAGTAGGCAAAACAAAAATAGCCAGCCATATGGTTAGCACAAGTGACTTTACCTTCTAATATACTATCGTTTAACAGCACCAAATCTCTTCCCTGCCACCCACTAACACAGAGAATTATAATTTTCTCTACTACAGCAATATCAACTAAATAGGAAATTATTATTAGGGCACTGGGCATATTATTTCACTCTCAGAGACTAATAGCTGTAATAGAGAAGAACATGTATTGGTGAAGTTGTGGGGAAATCTGAACGCTCACAAACTGCTGGTAGAAATATTAAATGGTATTTCAGCTTTGGAAAATAGTTTCTTCAGATCCCCAAAAAGTTTAACAGTGAGCTACAAGATGAACCCAACAATTCTATTCCTACATAATGAACCCAGGAGGAATAAAAACAAATACATATGCTTATGTCAGTATTATTCATAATAGCCAAAGCTACAAATAATCCAAATACTCACATATAGGTGAATGAATGAATAACGGGTGGCATGTTTGGACAATGGAATGTTATTTGGCAATAAAAAAGAGTGAAGCATTAATACATGCTGTAACATGGTTGAGTCTTGAAAATTTAAGCTAAACTTTAACTAAAGAAGTTAGTCATAAAGGCTGTATTGGGCCACACCTAGGAGTACTCAGGGACTGTTCTTCCTGCAGAAATCCAGGTAAAGATTGAGACTTGTATGCTTATATACCTGTAATAATTATTAGTCTTGATGATGTTTTGGGGACAATGGAGTACTAGGGGCGGAAGTTGTGCTTCTCCATGCAAAGCATGAGCTCCAGCCTTTGAGTGTCAGCCTGGGAAACTAAATTCCATTTATATGGAATATTCAAGATAGGCAAATATAAGACAGGGAATATTTGTAGTTGCCTAGGGGCCGGAGTGGGTATTGGGAGAGCTAGTGTGACTGCTATAACCCCAGAAACACATCTTTCTGGAGTGATGAAAAGTTCTGAAGTTGAATGTAGTGATTGTTACACAACTGTGTGAATATGAAAAAGACAAAGATATGATTATTCTGACTGTGTATTATCTGAATTAACAGTATATTATTCATCTTAAAAGGAATTTTAAAAGGACTGGGGTGACTGGAGAGATATTTACAATGGATAAAGGGCTTGCTCTCCACGTGACCTACCTAGGTTCTATCTCTGACACCCCATAGGATCCTGCAAACTTGTCAATAGTGATTCCTGTGTGTGTAAAGTCAGAAGAAAACCTTGAGCACCACTAGGTCTGTCCTCGTCTCCCTAACAAAAGAGGGCTGGGTGTCACCTAGAAGCAGAACACTTGCCCTGTATGCGTGTGGTCCTCATTTTGATTCCGAATATCACACACAAAAAGAAAGCTGCCACACATATAAAGTTTGAAGGAAATGAAATCTGTATTATGTTCTGGGCACTATATCATATGTAATTCATTTGTAATCTCATTTCATACTCTATTTAGTGTTATTGATCTATTCTTTTACATGTATGTCATATGTTTATTCATTAGTCAATGAGGTGATATTTTATGCTGAATCAGATAACAATTTTATTATTTTTTCCTTTTTTTCTTTTAAACATTGTTTTAAGTTTTTTTAAAATTTTATAAATTAGTTCATGGTATTTCATTATATTTAATATTCAAACACCAATCCCACCAGCATTATACCCTCCCACCACCATATTTCAGATGTGTTTTCCATCCCCAAACTCAATCTCTGTACCAAAGCAGAACCAAAATAATACATTTTGTATTGTTTGTTATGAAAAACCGCTGAAAATGCTACAAAAAAAGTATCCTTAGAGGAAACAGTATGGAGGTTGTTGTATTTCACCCAGGGACCATTAAGCCCTTCTATAAGAGATCACTAACATGTTGTTAAAGGTTGAGACTTGTGTGCTTATATACCTGTAAAAAAAAGTATATTTCCCTCTAAGATTGGTTGTCTCCTACCTTGAAACCTATCAAATGTGGTGCAGTAATATTGGAATATGGGTAAGGTGTGTGGTTTGATGTATCGTGTGGCTGTGAATGTGACCAGGCAGTCCAGAAATAGATTCACTCATGGGTGATTCTCAGCCAAGAGTGTGGAGAGAGGCAGTGGGCATGGCAGTGGCTGGGTTCTTTGAGAGGTTTGGCTGTCGAAGCTGGGTCCCATGGGGCGGGGCGGGGTCTCATCCGCCCCACTCCAAGGAGGCACAAGTAAAACAGCCTGGCCTGGGGTCTGGTGGCATGGTTATGGCGAGTGTCATGTTATGCTCCTTCCCAGGAGAAAAGGATGTGCAATCTGCATTATTAATCTACTCTAAGCTGAAAACACTTAAGTTTACAGAGGTGACCTATTAATAGTTTACAAAACTATTGAAAGGACAGAAGAAAAGAATAATAGACCTTTAGCTGTTTTAATGCTCGACTTCAATCCGACATGCCAACAGGCCACTTGTTTTTGCTACTCTTCCTCTAATTAGTGAACAAATGTTAAAGGAAATAATTTTATAGACACATTACCTCTATTAATAAGTCACATTTTGATTGAGAACCTGAGGATGGTTATTTGGGGGGAGGTTTTTTGGGGGGAGCAAGGGACAAAAAAAAGGATTTTCAGGATTTTTTTGGGTGATGTTTAAGAACACAAACAGCATATACACGCATAACAAAAAATAAGGTATATTAAAATGTCTATCATGTATTGAATTAGGTTCTATAAATTGATTAATTTATCACAGTGTGAAAATCATTTACCTTGAACACAACATCTGGAATTATCTGCCTAAACCAACTGAGTGCAACCAGATTTGGTAGCTGAATCCAGAGCAAGTGGTAAAAAAATGTTGAAAGTGATCGGTGAAATATACCAGAATATAATAGGGAAGAGAGACAAGCAAGAGAACCACTTATTTTGTTTGATTTTTTTTTTTAGTACAAAATATACAAAATCATCTCTGAGGGGGGTTTACCAGAAGCAGTCATAATTTAAAATTGTTTATATAATCATTCAGTGCTCTCAATGAGATATATATATATATATATTTTTTTTCTTTTATGATCGCACTCAGCGATGCTCAGGGGTTACTCCTTACTCTGAACTCTTGAATTACTCCTAAAGGGGAATGGGGGGGCCATAAGGAATGACCAGGTCAGCTGCATGCAAGGCAAATGCCCTACCTGCTGTACTATCACCCCGGACCCTTAATAACATATTTTATATTACATGAAGAAGTTAAGATCTCACCCAGGAATCATCCACGTCTACAGTAGCAAACAGTACATTCTGGTACTGCAGAACCATTGCCTTCAAAGTAAAAGAAAAAAAAATCTCTTAGTTGTTTAATGTTAACATTAAAACACACACTGAAAGCATGATTAGGCAAAACCAAGAAATGAACATAAATGTTTAAAGAGCTAAGCATCCTTCTGGCCTTTAACATTTGCCTGAAACTTGTCACAGTAAAGTCAAAAAGTCAAAGGATACTGAGGTCAAGTAAATATCACTGCATACCTAAGTCTAAAGCCAAATGGAAAATGAGAATTCCTAATTTGAAAATGACAAAAAGGAATGATTAAATGTCATGAGTCTAGACTTACCCCATGGGGTGGAGGAAGAGCTCACGATCACGATCAGGACCATCCTGTTGTTCGTCGATTGCCTCGAGCAGGACCCAGTAACGTCTCCTTCATCCTAGCCCTGAGATTTTTTTAAAAAGTGCCACATTCAAGGCTCTTTCAGGGTTAGGAGAATGAGACCCATCATCGTTACTGGTGTTTGGCATATTGGGTACGCCACGGGGAGTTTGCCAGACTCTGCCGTGTGTGTAGGTTACATTCGGTAGGAGGGAGAGCTACTAGCTCTTTTTTTTGCCCCAGATGGGGAGTCTGTCTTCAGAGGTCTTCAAAAGAAAGATCTTGGAACAAATTTCCTAACCCTTAACCGTCTCCTATTGTTAGGCTTTTTGGGGGTGACCGTGTTCTGGTGGTGGTAAAATCCTTGCTGTGGCTGAAATGATGTACGCTTATATGTGCTAATATCATTGTTTTCTGTCCTTATTTATTCTGGGCTTTACTGTATAGATACTTTACAGATTCCATTGCTTGGGGCTGGAGCAACAGTACAGCAGGTAAGGAGCTTGCCTTGCACACAGCCAACTGGGTTTAATTCTTGGCACACTACCTAGTCCCAAGCCCACCAGGGATGATCCCTGAGCACAGAGCTTGGAGGAGTAAGCTCTGTGCATCTTGAGGTATAGCTAAGAAAAAAAAAAAACCCAACACCAACGAAACAAACAAAAACAAACTGAAAAACCCAGATTCTATTACCAGCTAGCTTCTAGTTAGGCTATCCCAGTGGGAAGCATTTGCAGGAAAAATGTAAGGTGGAAGAGGGAAGAAACAACTCTGTTCTGGAAGCATCTTTGGTAGCTGTAGATATCAGCTCCTGGATTTTGAGGGGGCTGGGAGTGGCCACACCCCATGGTGCTCAGGGTTTACTCCTGGTTCTGTACTCAGGAATTATTCCTTGGTGGTTATCAAGGGACCCTGTCAATGAGAGTGAACCTGGGTTGGTCGCTGGCAATGCAAGTGCCTTCCCTGCTGTACTATCTCTCCAGCTCCACAGCTCCTGGATTTTTAAGATGGGTGTGTTCTTACTTTTTTTTTTGACCACACCCAGAGGTGCTCTGGGTCAGTACTGGTGCTGCCCAGGGAACTAAGCAAAGTGGAGATTAAACTGGGGCTGGCCACACACAAAGCAAGTGCCTTCATCCTTTTACAATACCTCTGGTCCTATGTTCATGCTTCAAGGACACCGAATCTGTCACTGTCACTGTCCTCCCATTGTTCACCAATTTGTTTGAACAGGCCCAGTAATGTCACCATTGTGAGACTTGTTGTTACTGTGTTTGGCATATCGAAAACCTGACGGGTAGCTTGCCAGGCTTTGCTGTGTGGGCGAGATACTCTTGGTAGCTTGCTGGGCTCTCTGAGAGGGGTGGAGGAATTGAACCCCAGTCGGTTGAGTTGGCTGCGTGCAAGGCAAACACCCTACTGCTGTGCTAATTCTCCAGCCCTGAATTGATTTGATAGCTTTATGATATCTCATCGTTTCTTTACTGACGAAATGGCGTGTCGGATTTTGGAAGGGAGAACGTTTGGAACGACATATCCATCCTGTGGAATTTGGTATGTCGGCAAGTGGACATGGCTATCGAAGAGATTTGAGTAGAAGTCATGGATAATCTTCTCCATTGCCGTTCTGGAGGATGTGATGGATCCATCAGGACGTCGGAGGGCAGTCATCTTGGTCTTGTAGTTGGCGAAGGACAGGCGGGCATTACGAATACTTTTCCCAGCTTCTGCCGCATCTACCAGTACTTCTGCTCTTCTCTCTTTGAGTTCTTCCTTGATCGCATCTCTCCACTGCTTTGCGAGCTCGGACGTTAGCTTGCGGTTGCCTGAGGCATGCGCCAAACCACGCTGGCGAATTAGCTCAAGAGTTTTCGAAGATAGGCGATTTTTTGTGGCTCTCTCTCTCTCTTGGCGTTCCTCGCACATTCATGGAGGTGCTGAACCAGTCGATCGTATTCCTCGTCAATGTTGTCAACAATAGCATCTTCCCATGTTGCCGCAATAGTGCCAAAGAGCTCCCAGTTAGTGGTCGTTCTGGGAGTTCTCTTTTTAAACTTTGCAGCCCTTTCTCCCTGCTCTGTGAAGTAGAATTTTGCATGAAGGAGACGGTGGTCCGATCCCATTCGGAATTTTGGGACAACAGCGACATCAGTCAGGCAAAATCATAGATTGAATATGATGTGGTCTATTTCGTTGTGGAATCGTCCACCGGGAGACTCCCATGTCCAACGTTTAGGTTCTGCCTTCTGGAACTGTGAGTTATCATGGATGGTCTTGGTCGACATGATGAACTCAGACAGTCTCTCACCCTGTTCGTTCCATTCTAGGCCATGGGTCCCAATGTGATGTTCTTCAGCTGATCTTCTCAGTCTTGGCATTAAAACCACCCACAATGATCTTGTAGAAGGTGTGGTCTTCTTTATAGAACTTCTCCAGCTCCATGTAGAACTTCTCAATTTCTCTTTCATCATAATGAGATGCTGGTGCGTAGACAATGAAGATAGAAACTGCAGGCAGTGAGCCACATCTATTCAAATGTAAATGTCCGATTTGGGTTGTTAGGCATTTGAATGAATCAATACTCATGGCCAAGTTTGTGTTGACAAGGACACTGACGCCTCCGACACCTCTTTCATTGCATGTTCCGAGGAAAAATTCTTCTCCAGTGTCGAAAACGGCATGGTAAGATTCGTGCCTTCTTGTCTCGGTCAGACCAATGATGTCGTACTTGATCATTCATGCTTGTACCATCAGGTCCTCGATGGATGCATCTGATGCTAGCGTATGTGCATTGAAAGTACAGATGATCATTTTTGTCTTCCTTCGTTGTGGCAGCCTAGTTCGGCCTTGAGATTTTATCGGCCTCTCCTTTCTCATCCTTCTCAGTGCTGCCATGTCGGTGAAGCCTTCAGGGTCAGGTGAATGAGACCAGTTGTAATTACTGGTTTTGGCATATCGAATACACAACGGATAGCTTGCCAGGCTCTTCCGTGTGGGCGGAATACTCTCGGTAGTTTGCCAGTCTTTCCGAGAGGGATATAGGCTTTTGGGGCGACCTCTAATCGCCCTCGTAGGTGTTACCATATTTGAACCCTATCAAATATGGTACGGCAATTCCAGAAGATGGGTATTTAGTGTCTTACGATGTGTCGTGCGGCCTTTGAATCCCTTTGTCACGTGTGGTTGGTGGGAGCAAGCAGAGAATCTTGGAGTCCAAGGTCTCAGAGAGTTCAGCTTATCTTGTTCTGTGGGTCTCCAGTCATGCGTGAGTCTCGGCTGGAGCTGCCACGTGGGTCTGGAAAGCCTCCTGGAGCGTGGTGGCGGCTGGGTAGTGGAGGTAGTGTCGGTAGTGGAGGTCTGCCAGTGGGGTATTTATCTGGTCCTGGTAGGGGTAGGGTGGGTCTTCTGTGTGCAATCCGATCCCTGGGTCTCTAGTGGTTGGTAGGACCAGACAGGGCAGGGTAGGGTGGGGCTCCTGATTAGAATCCCTTTGTCACCTGTGGTTGGTGGGAGCAAGCAGAGAATCTCTATCCCTGGAGTCCAAGGTCTCAGAGAGTTCCGCTTATCTTGTTCTGTGGGTCTCCAGTCATGCGTGAGTTTCAGACGGAGCTGCCACACAGGTCCGGAAAGCGTCCTGGAGTGTGGCGGTGGCTGGGTAGTGGAGGTAGTGTCGGTAAAGAAACGAACAGCACCCGGCCCAGACAAGGTCAGACCTGAACACCTGAAGAACCTGCCGTCAGTACTCATCAATACACTGGCTCGGCTCTTCACTCGCTACCTGTCTGAATGCAAGGTTCCGTCCCAATGGAAAACCAGCAGGACCGTACTACTGCTCAAGAAGGGAGACATCCATGACATTGGCAACTATCACCCGATCTGCCTATTGTCTGTCATCTACAAGTTGTTCACTCGAGTCATCCTAAATAGGATTGGCAGAACACTAGATGAAGGACAACCATGCGAGCAAGCCGGGTTCCGCAAAGGATTCAGCACCATCGACCATATCCACACGATAACCAAGCTCATTGAGGTTTCTTGGGAGTTCAAGATGCCGCTCTGTTTAACGTTCATTGATTTAAATTTAAAGAAGGCCTTTGATTCTGTTGAGATGGATGCGGTCATCGAAGCCCTAGCCAATCAGGGCATTCAAGCCCAGTACATCAAGATCCTCTGTGAGCTGTATTGCGGATTCACTACCAGGATCTCACCATTCTACAAAGAAGTAATCATTGATGTCAAGAGAGGGGTTCGGCAGGGTGATACCATTTCACCGAAACTCTTCAGTGCCACCCTCGAGAACATCATGCGACGACTGGAATGGGAAGGAATGGGAGTGAAGATAGATGGTCGGCAACTACACCACCTCCACTTTGCTGATGACATTGCTTTAATAACACCAAACATCAGCCAAGCGGCACAAATGCTGGTCGACTTTGACCGTGAGTGTGGAAAGGTAGGAATACAGCTGAATCTTACGAAGACAACATTTATGAGAAACAGCCTCGTTCCTGATGCCCCATTCGCTCTCAACGGAACGACCATCTCCGAATGCAACAGCTATGTGTACCTAGGTCGAGAAGTCAACATGACAAATGACCTGGCACCCGAGCTGCGCAGGAAGAAGAGAGCGGCTTGAAACGCCTTCAAGAACGTTGAAGAAATAGCTAAGAG